TTAATTTTGATCCATTAAGCTATTTTTGTTTTTTTTTTTGCCGCATATTTTACTTTCATACCGTCTGATTGTGCTGCTGAATGGAAATGTGTGTAATTTTAATGGACAGAAACATTCCTGTCATCGAATTATTGGTTTTTAACATTTTTTTTTTTATTTTATTTCATATTTTGTTTAACCTTCTGTTTAGAATAAGGAAAGTTGCAATCTTCTGTTTAGGGTCTGTTTATCCTTCTTTTTAGGGTAAAGAAAGTTGCAAAATTAATTGTGAGCCTCGGGTTGAAGAGCGAACACTGTACTGCTTTGATTTTTGCATGATTTTTGATCCCGGCTCATTCTCACATATTGTTTAGGAAATTGAATTTTACCGATTATCGGTAATTGTGTACATCGAGCTTGAATTTATTTTTAATTTTGATTTTTTCGCAACTTTTTAATTAAGTAATAATAGCGATAAATTAATTTTTTAGACTTGAATCGAAGAAAAACAAACCGCGGGCGAAATCACATCGTGGACCAGGATTCTGTGATATTTGCATTCGCGAATGCCCCGATTTACAGCTGGTTTGTGGAATTAATCTTCCAGATTTCTCGTATTTTTATGCGTTTTTTGCATCTGTGCAATGCAAAAACGCATATTGTCAAGGGGCTTCTATGTGTGTGTTTGTGTGTGTCTGTGTGTGTGTGTGTGTCTGTGTGTTCGTCTGTACTGATTTTTCATCTCGGGACCTACAAAAGATACAAAGCTGAAACTTTGAGAACTTCATCTATGTACATGTACGGGTCCCTGTCTTCGAAATGGACGCTTTTACCCACGTGTTTTCCACGTACGAGGCCGTGAAAGTTTTTGGTGGGTAAGCTGATAACTCGGGGACCAGAACAACTAGAAAGCTGGAATTTTAAGAGGGTGCTCCCCATCCACGTAGAACTTAATGACTTCAAACTCAGCCTGCAAGTATGTGTCCTCAAATATGGGCCCATGACAATTTTTCACGGGTATGTTGTTAACTGAAGAATTAAAAAAGCTAGAAATCTGAAATTTTAAGGGAGTGTCTTCTGACGGTCGTGGTGGCCAGTTTCAGTTCTTTTCGCTAGAAGCATCTGCCGGAAAAAAACAGTGCCGTTAGCGACAAAACCCCGTGGGGAGCTGTGCAAAAAACGCATCTTCACACTGACAATCGGTGCGCCAGCCAGTTATTTTTTCCTTGGACGTACTAAAAAATAAATAATTCTGATTATCTGTTGATTATAATTCAGCATTTCTCATGCAAGGAGCATCAGATGCACATCAGCGAGCCGGAATTCTACAAAGAAGTGGATTCACTGTGTGGCTCATTTACCAAAGAGATTGTTGTCCCCAACCAGCCGTTGCGACGACGACGAACACCCGAACCACTGCCACTACCCGAAAATGATCTTTTAGAATAGCCCGCAAATGTGCCATATCCAGAAAATCGTCATCCGTTGCTACGAATAAGACTCCAAAGTTGCTTTCCTCTTCCTTTTTTTGAATATTTCTGATTTTACTTGTTGTTTTTGTTCTAATTTTTTTTGGCATTGATCCATACTGCCGTCAAAAGCGTCCAATAATTCCACGATTCGTTTGATTGTTGTTTTTTTGGCGTGAAAATCCGCGAAAAACCGGTAAATTTTAGTGAGAAACAACCAAAAACTGCAGATAGCTTGCCGTATTTTTGGATATAAAAGCTGAAATTGCTAAATTTTGGAGCATTAGGATCGTTGGTGTAGTAGTAATAGAAAGGTGTATTAATAAAGGTTGAAAGTAAGAAGAATCAAAAAGGAAGATGGGAAATGAGAATTACGAAATTAGTAAAATTATTATTATGTTAAGAAATGTTTCGGTCCATTAACACATCATGGCTCGGAAGTCCCTGAGAAGTGAAGGAGTTCTTTTACGTCCCGGTGAATTTGTATCCTTTGCAAAAAGGAGCTCCGTTCAAGACATAATGGATCTGAGAGAGAGAGAGAGAATCTGACCCTTTATCTTCACTATCTTTGGGTAGAATTTGCTAGAGAAATGTGATAGGGAAGATAGTTTTCAGCAGCAACCATCCACTGGAAATTTTACGGATAGTAACATGTTAGCTGTTTTACTAGCGGCCGTTGTGCTTTGTATTTAGCAGATGGAGAATACACTGTTTTTTGTGCCTAGCCACCAAGCTACGTACAGTTTTTTTATCATTTTTTGCCGTCTTTTGGCGGATTTACGCAGTGATTTGGCTGATAATTTACTGAACATTTATACAGAAGTGCAGATTCATCAGCACGAAATTTAGGAGGGCTTTCTGAGAAGAAAAAAATCGTTGACGACCTTATCTTTTAGGGCTAAGCCAATTGTAGCAACCAGGTTGACCCTGAAAGCCCAACTGGCGAATGCGCAATAGATTACAGCATGAAAAAACAGTATGAAAAAAGAGGGTAAGAATGAGATAAGACGTTTCGGTCCATTAAGCCATATACGTCTGATTTATATCGATGGATTTTTTGCAACAGTTCTGCTTCCAAATTAAGATTATGCTCACCCTCGGTCGATCGGGAGCGGATAAGTTAAAAATACTGGGAGTATAGGAAATTTTGGATTGAAAATCTGATGGTTACCAGTACTGCCTGTGGAGGTAAGCAAGGATGAGAATTAATAAGGAGAAAATTTACCATGAAAGATTCTTGGGTTTTTTGGATTCAGACGGTGAATACAGAGCTATATTACTAGTGCTTTACAGAAGAAGATGATATTTATAGATGCCGGTGAAATCTGTGTTAATTTCTTTTTTTTTTTTTGAGGCACGATTCTGTCCTGGAAAAATATGTATTTGCCTTTTTCTTTATTAGTTTTTTTTTCTCCTGTTGAGTTAATGCAGTTTCATCGTACGTGGATACCAATTTAGGTCAGAATTCGCGTTTTTTTTCCCCCCTTTTTGAAGGTATCAAAATTAATTTTTGAAAAAAAAAATGTTGAAAATTAGGTTGCTTATTACCAGATTCAATAAGAAATAGACAAATTTAACGAAAAAAGACACTAAAATTAGTTGGGTTAATTTGAAGAGCGATAATTATATGTGTTTTTTGAAACAATTACCTTGTGTTAGGTCTAGCAAAAATGGGTAGGCACGTGATGGGTAGTGGTACCCCTGTTTATTAGAATATGGGCACATAATTTTTTTTTTTCGAATTTCCTGCGTCACATAATAGTCACTTTCACAGCTTAAGGATCCCGGTTTCCGTTGCAAATTT